TTTAGTATATGCTGAATATTTGTGCTTGTCCTCTTTTTTATTGTGATGTGAAGGTTTATCATTTTTCTTTGAGGTTACCCTATGATTTATAATTTTTTCCTGTATGGGTTAATTTTTGAATTCAAAATTCTATTCCAGTGATCTATATGTCTGTCCATATGCCAATACCATAATGTTCAAATGACTGTTTCTTTGTAGTAACTTTTGAAATCCCAAAATCTGAGTCCTCTTTGTTTTTATTTTTCAAGACTGCTTTGGATATTTGAGGTCCCTTGCAATGTTATCTGAATTTTAGGATTAACTATTGATTTTCGAAGGGCTTTATTTATTTTTGTCACAGCTCACTTGAGATTTAATTATGATAAGGTATGGAAGAACAGGATGTCAATAGCAGCATTTTTACCAATACAGTATAAAATGAAACAAGATCCAGACGTGGTTGCTTACACTGCCAATTACAATAAAGTTACATAATTCAAACAGCAGTTTGAATCTTGTTTCTTGAATAATGAAAACAACAATGCACACACAAAAACTACTCTAGGTGTGATCCAAAGGGCCTTGGAATTGTCCAGTATTGGGTTATCGGCCTGATATGCTCTCCAGCTCTTGTCATAGGTATAGACAGGAGCACAACAGCCCATAGACCTGGAGCTGTGGCCCAAATGTCTGTGCATTTCTCCTGGGGGCCTCAGGGACCAACCCCTTCCTCATCCTGCCATGAGGGATAGAAGCCAGACCCTGGAGCCAAGATGGGGATTCAGGGGACTTAACATTTAAAATTTTTATTTCTTAATTGCCTTGTTTACTACAGAATGTTATTAGGGAGACACATATATAATCATGCAGTTAATTGGTGGTATGCATAAAGTGCTGTTATCACATGTACAGTGGTAATTTTGAGGTGTTGAAAAATTCTAAATGACTTACAAAAAGTCCAGTAGTATTTTAATCTAGTTGATTATTTTCAATCATATGTACCTTATTATATTCTGATTCTTTTAATCATCTTTTTATGATTGAGTAAACCAAGACACTCTATTTCCTTCCATGATATATAAATGACGTTTTATGATAAACTTCTTTTTGATAAAGTTTAAAGAAATATCTTCTTTAAATACCATGAAATACCTTGAAATATCATGGTAGTACATAGCAAGAAGTTTTTTCCGGTCTAGGAAAGAAATATCTATCTTGATACTCTAAGGTGTGAGTCTCTAATAAATTGATGATAAAACATTTTTGCTTACTTTGTTACAGTACATGAAAAAGCACATTTATTTTGATTTATAATTCTGGAGATTAAATACTTAACAGTGAGCCAAGAGGTTACCTGGAGTCTCTCTCTCTTTCTATATATATAGTATTTGTAAAATATATTTTTATAGTGACATAATTTCAATTACTTTATTATACTTGAGAGAATTTGATGGGTCATTATATTCTTAAAGCTAGCATAGTACTGTGTTGCCATGAGATTAGACTGGAATGTATTCAGTTTGAGAACTTTATGGTTATATTTTTTACTTAGCAAATTTGTGGTCACAAAAATTACAACTGAGTGGTAGCATAGAGGTTACCCAGAAAACTCTTAGAGTTATAGAAACCAAGGCCCGGACAGATGCTTAGTTTACTTGTGCAGGGCTAGGACCTGTATCCAGGTAGTAATTATTTGCTACAAAGTTGTTGTTGTCCTTAGTGTATGTAGGTATGCATGGGTGCAAGTTTGTGTAGTATAAATTCTTAGTATAGCTTGGCTTCATTTGTATTAGTTTTATACTTGATAGCTTACTGTTTTTTTGTATGTTGTTTTCCTCATTAAATTGAGCCATAGTATCTGCATATGCTAAGTGATCTATATGTCTGTCCCATATGATCTTTATGTCTGTCCTTGTGGCAGTATCACCATGTTCTGATGACTGATCCATATATTTACCCATTCCAAAGAAAGGTGATCCCACAGAATGTGGAAATTATCAAACAGTCTCATTAATAGCACAAGCAAATAAAATCTTACTGAAAATATTTGAGAAGTTGCAGCAGTATATTGACAGAGAACTTCCAGAAATGTAAATGGGATTCAGAAGATGATGTGCAATGAGGGATATCATTGCTGATGTCAGATGGATCTTGGCTGAAAGCAAAGAATACCAGAAATATACTTACTTATGTTTTATTGACTATGAAAAAGCATCTGATTGGGTGGATCATAACAAATTGTGGATAACATTGAGAATAATGGGAATTCCAGAACATTAACTGTACTCATGAGGAACTTGTGCATAAATCAGGATCTTGTCATTTGAACAGAACAAGGGAATACTGCATGGTTCAAAATCAAGAAGGAAGTGCGTCAAGGTTGTATCCTTCCCCCATACTTATTTAACTTGTATGCTGAACAAATAATCCAAAAACCTGGATTATATGAAGAAGAGCATGGCACCAGGATTGGAGGAAGACTCATTAATAACCTGCAATACACAGATGACACAACTTGGCTTGCTGAAAGTGAGGATGACTTGAAGCACTTACTGATGAAGATTAAAGACTACAGTCTGCAGTATGGATTACATCTCAATATAAAGAAAACAAAAATATTTGCCAACTGGTCCAATAAACAGCTTCATGGTAGATGGAGAAAAGATTGAAGTTGGCAGGGCTTTCATATTACTTGGTTCTACAAATCAACATCAGTGGAAGCAGCAGTCACGACATCAGACGACATACTGCAATGGACATATCTGCTGCAAAAGACTTGTTTCAAGTGCTGAAGAGCAAAGATGTCTCCTTGAAGACTAAGATGTGCATAACCCAAGCCGTGGTATTTTCAGTCAGCTCTTATGCATGTGAGAGCTGGACAATGTATAAGGAAGAGCAAAGAAGAGTTGATGCTTTTGAGTTTTGGTGTTGGAGAAGAATGGTAAGAGTACCATGGACTGCTAAAAGGACTACCAAATCTGTCCTGGAAAAAGTGCAGCCAGAAGGCTCCTTGGAAGCGAGAATGGCCAGACTTCATCTCACCTACTTTGGTCATGTTGTCAGAAGGAACCATTTCCTGGCTAAAGATATCATGCTTGGTAAAGAGGAGGGTCACCAAAGAAGGGGAAGGTCCTCAATGAGATGGATAGACACAGTGGCTGTAATGATGGGCTCAGGTATAGCAAGGATCCCGATGCTGGCACAAGCTCCCCCCTCCTCCAGGAATTGTTTGGTTCTGCTGTGCATAGGGTTGCTATGAGTCAGAGAGAACTCAACAGCACCTAACAACAGCAACATCCCCTGCATATGCACATTTTAAGTATGAAGACAATTGCCTTTTCAAGACATTTATATATATATTAAAAAATATACCAGACTCATTGCCATCGAGTCTATTCTGACTCATAAAGACCCCCAGGTGGTAAATCTTTACAGAAGTAGATTGCTCCATCTTCCTTCCATGGAGTACAGAGTGGCTGGTGGTATTGAACCAGCAACCTTCTGGCCTTCTGGTAAGCAGTCAAATGCCTTAGGCTCCACCAGAGCTCCTTTTAAGACTACTCTTTAGGGGAAATAAAACAAAACAAAACCCACTGCCATCTGGTTGATGCCGACTCATAATGACCCTCATTGGGTTTCCGAGGTGGTAAATCTTTATGGAAGTAGATTACCCCGTCTTTCTTCTGTTGGACTACTATACCAAAAATCAGCGTCTCAGCTGTCGAGTCAGTCCTGACTCGTAGTGACCCTTCCTTGGTTTTCCGAAGCAGTATTTCTATGGAAGTGATTGCCCATTCTTCCTTCTGAGGAGTGGCTGGTGGGTTTGAACCACCAGCCTTCTGGTTAGCTATT